ACAACTTTATTTCACAAACTGAAGGAGCAGTATGTACTGAGTTTATATAACATTTGTTCACATCAGAAACCTCGTGTCCATGTGCTGTGCTGAAGACTAAAAAAAATTCTAAAAATACAGAACATCCTAGAACGCTAAAAATTCTCTTCAGTATGTTTTGCATTCCGTTTCGTGACCTGTCTTTAAACCTCTGGATGGCAAACATAACATTATGCAACACAAAAGCTTCATTTATGTATCTTTTGAAGATCGCAATCTTTCTAAAGAAAAATGATCTTGAAATCTTCCATTAGATATTACTGATGACTTCAGTGTAGTTCAAGAATTCGCATGAGCCACTAGTCAGCTGCGTTGGGAAAAGAATCGTTTAGGGAAAAGGCAATTTACCAGATAATCAGAGCTGGTTGCATTCTATACACAACTTGCCTCTGGTCTGGAAATGTGCACTATTTTTATTGCAATCGCTAATCTGCAACCACAAACAGATCCAGGAACTGTAATAATTCACCATTTTTAAGCAGTGTAAGCATGCCTGCTATTTCCTTTTAACAAGTGGAGAATGCAAGCGTGTTTAAAACGTGATCCGGATGCAGATGCATGCCACTAACTTCTGTGACAACTGAAGAACTACAGAAGTGATTTTAGGACTGCTGAGCATCTAGAACCAGTTCAGATCAAGGGGACATGTAAGATATGTTTAAACAGATGGTCCTAAAAGCAGCAACCTTTCTGCCAGAAGCAGTCTGAAAAAAAACCACAACAAACCAAACCAAAACCAAGAAATACTACGGTGTAACAAGAAAGTAACTCTAGCTTTCTATTGCTTAAGGTAAAAAGACAACGCACCCTTTCAGCTACAGTTTAGTAGGTGAAGTAGTAAAGCATGAACTTTAGAAGCTACTTGTCATCCATGCATTTCCCATTTATTTCTCAGAGTGCCCACTTGGGTGTCTCAACCATCCACCTGCTTTTGTCTTGGGTAGACAAAACTATTTTTTCCTTAGGTTTGCTAATATTCATCCCAATTGTGAGTTACTGCCAAATCACAATAATTTTAAAGTCAAGAACTACTGCTGTAGAGCCAACAAATATTTCTGTCAAACCCCTCAATATTCCGTGCTGAAGGAAGCCAGACAAACAATATTTGCTATATAAAGATATTTGTGACTCAGGTTACTTGAGTCATACCTTTCATATAAAACTGATTTAAAACAACAACAATGAAAATGTTAACAGCTTAAGTGAATAGATAATTCTTCATCAAATTGGAGACTGTCTCTCGTTATCTTTACTGGCATTGCTCAGAAGTTACTTTGGAAGGTTATTTTATGACACTACAAGTCTAGAAAAATGGTTCCTTATAAAGCTGAAGGTCACTGCAATACTACACTTAGATTTAAGCAATAGCTACAGGAATAGAGGATATTTCAGGAGAAATCTATGGAACACCCAAGTTTAGGAACAAGCAAAGCCGTATAAAACCCCTTGTTTGCCACAGAAGTTAACCAAAGCTCTACAGATGCAACTCGGCTGGACACCTTTCCATACCAGATGTATCGGAAACAGAGTGGAAAAGCCAACTGTATAAAAACTACATGGAATTTTTCATACAAAATACTCCAAATACTTTTCATTATGTAACTTTTATTTGAGACACACATTGTTGTAAAAAAGTTCACATAGAATAATAAAACCATTGGAGTGTGAAGGGTTGGGTTTGGGTTTTTTTTTTTTTTTAGGGGTTGGGTGTGGGTTTTTTGTCTATACACATCAATACACCATTAATGATTAGGTTTACAAGTTAACCACATGACAAGTTCACTTTTATCTGCAGGAGCTTTTCACATTACACCTTTAGACCAGAGATAAAATGTGCTTAAACACACACAGTAGAACACTTCTATTTCAAAATTAAGCATTTTCTCAAGGACTATACTTTTTATTCTGAATTTAGTAGCTATATAGCATTAAAATAACTGTAATTGAAGTTTTATTTGCAAAAATGCTCGTAAGGCCATAGGAATGCACTAAAATACTTAAATACACCAGAAACAAAGATCAATGGAAATCCTGCTTTTGTGGAAGAAACAAATACACGTTTTATTTATAAGAATGAGAATGGCATAAGCAGTTCAGTGAATGGAGGAGAAAAGAGACCTATTATCGCCTACAGGCCAATCCTTAAGAGGTTTAACATTGTAAAATCTCAGTTACATTAATAGATAACCAAAAACCATATGCATTTTCACAAATAACACATTTATGCATTTTACATATTATTCATATACTTTCAGATCATTATCCATTCACAGTATTTTTATGTGATATGCATATCCACTACTCCTTTATTCACTTGTGAAAATGATCCAATTAATTCACTTGACTTCAGCAGATTAGTATGTGGAAGGTACTTACAATGGGAAAGACTTTCTGTAAAACAAGCTACAGGTCTGAAAAGCAAATTAGCATTTCTGAGACTGTCCTCCAAACAGAAAAGTGAGGAGCGTTAAGTCTCACGAGTGGTTTAAGCTTTAGCAACAGTACAACTTCCAGACAGCAAGTAAATTACATATTCTATATACACTCAACAAAAACGTCTTGTGCATGTTTTGCTGAGCAGACACTGGAAGCTAGAACTGCAAAGCTCTGAGACCAGTTTGGTTTTCACTTGGCTTTTTTTTTTTCCTTATAACATTTAGTTAAATATTGATCAAGATATAGTGCAGAGACGTGGGGCCGAGGGAAAGATTTCATAAACCTCAATAGCACAAGCAGCATTTTTGTTTTACTGAAATCCACCAAAAAATGTCTGCCTTTTCTGAAAGGTTAATGGCAATTTCTGGAACAAAACAGAAATACATTTGCTGCTTAATGAATAATAATTATATGACTTTCATTCTAATGGACATTAGAATACTAAGTAGTTGACTGAGGTATAGTTAAGAGTCCTTCAAAATTTAGATTATATAGTCTTGAGCAAAGTAGCAACAGAGACCACACAAAACAATCATAGTGATATCAGAAAAGCCTGTAGTACCCAGCATCTGATGCGTAGGCAGAACATACCATTTATCATTACCCACTCGCCTAAAGGAAAATACAGCTAAAAACCTCCCCAGTAAAACATACAGCTGATTTGCACGCTAAGATACAGCACGTTTCTCAGTGTCTGACAAGGCAGACTGCACACAGGAAGAGGTCTATACTGACCAGAAGGTAGCACACTGATGAAGTGCAGCCACTCAGCCATTTAATACTGCTGGAGAAAAGGGGGTGGGGCAAAACAACAAAGAAAGAGAAATCTGCATTTTACCTTATCCATAAGACCACATGAAATTAGAATTCTTCAGTTTCAGCAGGGGACAACAAAATTGCATTAAATTCTTCTACAAATAGAAAAAGATGAACTTTACATGAACATTAAGCAAAGTGAAATATTTACTGCATTATTTTGTCATGCATAAAGTGAATTTCCTATGGTCTTACCTCACATTTATGTACAGTTTAGCACAGCTAAATGTAAGAAAATAGCAAGTTTTTTTTCTCCCCCCTCCCCCCCCAATACAGAGCAGATACCCCAATTCGCTGCTGCTTCAAGAAGCACTTCATAGACTCTACTACTTACAGGCTCTTTCAAAGGGAAGTTCATGGAGACTAATATTGAATGAACATTTAACTGCACAGCGGAGACAGGAAAAACAATACAAAGCATTCTGTAAACGGTGCCAAACACAGAACATGTCAGTTTTGGTTTGCAGACAACCCCTGAGATAAAAATCAAAGTATTACGACACCAAATAAGTCAGAGGTAAATTACTGAAAATAAACAACATTCATAATTGGTGTCACAACACTTTCTGTATAGAAGCACTTTTTTTAACCATACAGAAAACATAACTGCTTTAGCCTCTCCAAGAAAAACATCAAGGGTAGACAACAGAGCAGTTAGGGTTGTTTTGTTTTTCACTTAACCTTGTTGCCATGAAGATTTTTCTGTTTTAGTGCAGCAACAGCAGTTTATGAGATTCACCATCTAGTTATAATAACTAATTCTATTGAACTACATGTGGGGACAGGTTGATAACCACTTAAAACCTTATGGAACCACCTACTAATGTTAAACCTTGTAAAATCAAAAGTCTATAAAAATCTAACACTACTGGCCCGTTCACTTCCAAAATATTTACAGTAGACCCAGAGATGACAAATTCAGTACCTGACACCACAAAATGAATCGGTTAGCTGCGGTAACAACCAGCTCGCTGTTTACAACTCTAGACAACCTAGTGACGCAAAAAGCAAGCACGTCAGACGTTAACTCTGACCAGTAGAGAATGCACCTATCCCCTACTAAGGAACATGCTGGACACACACTTGTGGTTAAAGCTTACAATGGTCCAAGTTTGGCACATCAACAGAACTAAAGCACCTGTTTTAATTGCTCATTGAGGAAATTTTTCAGAAAACACTAAAAAAGTAGTAGAACAAAGACTAGGTTATACAATGCTCGGTTGAGTAAAAAAGGCAACTACGTTTCAACTCTGCTTCTAACAGTCTAGGTCACTGTACCAGTTTTCGATTAAAAAAATAACTGCTTGAGCAGACCAAAGAGGGCTTCGCACATTCAGCATTAACTGCATAAATAATAGTACATTTTAGCCCTAATGCGACCATTTCCTTAGTGCCAGAACTTGACCACCTTCAGCAACTGCACAGGAAGCTCGTTTTTGGACACCGCTGTTGTCAAAGGTCAAGGCTTACAGACATTAACAAACTATGCTTAGAATTCAGTAGAAATGGAAGTCACCTTCAGAAGCAGTCATTTCTGAACAAATGAATCCACAAAGAGGTTACTCAAAACTCATGCATTCAGCTTCCACAAGCCACTTAAGTGATAGTGATGAGGCCAATTTGTGACGATGATTTCAACTCCAGACTGTACTTCCTCATCAGAAACCAAAAAAGGTGCAGGCAGTTTGAGCTAACAAAGGGAAGTTAAGTGAGGAAAGACACCGTGTTTATTCAAATAACTGAAAGGTGCATCTGTGAATCAGTGACTGGCAATTCAGAACACAACTTTGCTAAGTCTGGTGAAGAAAAGCAACGCACTACATTCAGAATAGAAGCCACAGCTTCTGCATTAACAGATTTGTGCAACTAAGAGATAAAACTCAGATAAATTGTTAAATGCCAATTGTTAGAGTAATTCTCATTACTAGAGTGTCAACATCCATACTGCAGTCACGGCCACAAGATTACAGCATAGAAAATAATGGAAGCGAGACAGTTTTTCCCCTGGCTCTTACACTTGAAAATAAACTTGTTTAAAAAGAGGAAAAAAAAACCCAAAACTGCACAAATCTGTTAAGAACCTCACTTACAAGTCAAACTGTGCAAATAGAAATGTAAGATTGTGCTGTAACAGGCAGTAAGAGGCCAATATGGATGTGCAAAGTTAAAAGAAACATAGCAGCTTTTGCAACAGGCAATAAAACAGAAAGTAAAAAAGGAAAACAAGTTAACTCTTGCATTTGTGTCTCCACTTCATAGCTTCCATATCTGAGAAAGAAGAGCCTGACAGGTCAATAGGCTTAGTGAGCAAAATCCACTTGGTATTTTGTGTATCGCAGTCTACGTTCAATGGAGCTCTCAGCAGCAGCTTGGTGGTATTATTTCTGAGGCTTTGTGACCCTGTGCTTTCAAAGAAGCAGAAAAGGTTCTAAGTGTGCTGCAGTCTGTCATTAGAAGTTCATCAAAGTAGCGTGCATCGAAAGAAGCTGCTCTTCTTAGATCGATTTTCTGTTATTTTTACTGGCCCACCTGCCCCTGATGAACTGTTGTCATTCTGAAAGAGAAAGAGTATCAACATCATAAACCACAGAAAATATGTCTAACCTTCCTAGTTTCCCTCCTGACTTTCCCCTCTTGCAAAGCAATAACCAGAGCAGAACCTTATTGCAACTTGAACTCCTCAATTATCCAGACTGCTAATGGCTCATTAAAAGTGCCTGTTTCAAAAAGAAACACACATCCAACAATCCTGATCTCAAGTATTAGCTGAAGGAGCGACTATGTAATTTGATGCTTAATATAGCTAGGATCACACTGTTAAATTTCAAAAGAACACATTAGTTCCAGGTTGCCAGTGTTAATGTTCATGCAAAATAAAGAACAATTACACACTGATGTGTAACAGACTGATAAAGCACTGTTTGCTCAAATCTGATCTAGTATCCTAGCATCCACTGTAATCCCCAGGAGGGTGGGGTTCTTTTTGTAGGGTTACTACTCAGCCAATTATTACAGCAATTATTTCAATGTATCTAGTTTGTATGCCAAATGGAAATACAAACCATTTTTCTGTTGAGCTTTGTCATAATGTCCCGTGCAAGTGTGAAAAAGGCCTGGTGAGGAGAAGAAATTAAAAATAAGTTAGTCACAAGACACATTAAAGACAAGATAGATTTGGAGTAGCCAGCCACATGAACAATACAGCATTCTGTAAGCTAGCACTTGGAGCTGGAAGGCACTCCATGTACAACAGGTGGTTACTTAAAGCCACAATAAGCATGGTTTAGAAGAAAAGTATTTTTAGTCTCCATCCCTCCACTAGTTGAAGTGACCAGACTTTCCCACTGCATACCTCTTGGCCAGAAAAAAAAAAAGAATCTGCTTTAGAGAAGGCTGCATACACTAACAGTCTGGTTTGGGTTTTTTTTTTACCTTCCCAAGTTGTACTTTGCATTGTAACTAGAAACCCACAGAGGTTTGAGTATAGTGTGCCTAGGAATCAACAGAAAGGTTAGGTTTCTGTCCTCCAAAAGTTTGGCTCCTGGGCTATTTATGTTATTTATGCTTCCAACATGTCCATTAAAAAAACCGAAACAAAACAAAAAAGCCACACCCACACTCTGGCAAACCGCAGCATCTTAGGCTTCAATGTATGAAGGAGTAAAGAAATGTCTGTAGCAGAGAAATTCTGCAATTCTCCAGAAACAGAGAAAAACAAGATTTTAGGCTATCTGGAGATATCGACAATACGAGGGCAGTTCCAGAATGTAAAAAACTGTCCACATTTTCCCTCTCATTGTGTTTGGAATATAGCCAAAGACAAACACTCATTTAATGCAAATAATTTATTTTAATTGTTGATATTTAAGTCACTTCTGATCACAAGAACATCACATGTGTCATTTCCCACAAGTCAGGCATTTGGGGGAAAGAAGACTAAATTCTTACTTGCTGAATCCCTCTACCAGCCGCATTTTTTAATGCTTTCTTCACTACTCATATGACAATTTAAGAAACTATTCAGATAGCCAAGTCATACTGAGTAAACAGAAACCCATGTTGTACGTTTTACGACCTACAGGAGTTACAATGAAATTGCAGGGGTTGTCAGGAAAGAACAAGCCAACCATCTGGAGGAACTAATGGAGAAGAGGTACTTTTTATTAGTTGACTATTGCTATCCACCATTGGTATTAGCTGCTAATGTTCACACTTTCATTGTCTGCTGTAAGAACCGTAATGACACTGTGAAAATGAGGTCATGCACTATTTCAGATGCAGCACAGTGCAAATAAATCCATTCTAACTATACTGTATAACAATCACCCTGCAATCAGAAAAAAACTACTCGGCTGGAAGGCCATCAGTCATGTTATTTTAAAGTAGAAAACTCCAGTTTCTAGATAATTTGTTAGCTGCCTGATCTGAATTAAGTACATGTTTGAAGGACTTAAAAGATCTCTAATGAATACACATGGAAAGGCCTTTAGATTATAAGGTACAAGAAAAACCATTAAGAACATGTCTGCCTTATCTGAACTAACCTTAATGTAACTGCCTTTTGATACATTATTTTCTTGTCCATGCTTTTCATAGCACCCCACTCCCACCCTGAGATGATAGGATCAGCTAAGACAGGAGTTGAGCCACTCTTCCTTCTATTTCCTTATACTCTCATAAATAGGGATCTTGTGTTTTTACTGCAAAATTGATTTGCAGGAAAACAGGTTGCAAGTCTATAGGTAGAGTATTATAAGTTGTCTCATCCTCTAACATCAACTTATCTATGTTTATGTTCCAGGTTAACGTACAAATCTCCAGTTTCAACTGCACAGCACATATTTAGTAGTAATCTGAAGGCTCCTTGACACAGCAGCATGTTATTCTGAAAGTAAAGAATCTTGAATCCAATTTCCTGCACAAAGCACTGTTCTAAAATTACACCTATTCCCTGTCCATAAGCACTTGCAATTTAATTGGCGATGCACAGAGGTCTAAAGCAGCTGTTTGCTACAATAACAGCAAACCACTCTGTTAACATCACTTTAAAAAACAATTACAGACATTACCTGAAAACAAGAAAGGCTGGATTTTACAGGAGCTCTCTAAATATAAAAAGACTGGTGACCCAGATGAATAGTTGGGAATTCAGGTCCCAGATCAGGTCAGAAAGCCCAGGAGGTCATGAAACATGCCCCCGTAGCAGCAGTTCAAGGAACACACCTAAGCATAACACCCGTCTCTTACCTCTTCCACATTTATGCTGGATTTTGCACTCGTCTCCAAAAATTTGATTCCATAATCAATTGCTAACTGGAAGAGAAGTTAAAGTTTTTCAGTGTTTTTGAAGTGCCTTTGTAAAAGGAATGTTTCGCACAGGTGCATAATAGAATAGATGCTGCATGCTGCAGCAAGCTTTAAAACCACAGCCAAACAAGCTTCATTTCTGCTTTTCTCTTGCAAAAACATTAAAGTTCCCAGACAATTAGACAAAATATTAGAGCAGGCCATATTCTCATGTGAATTCAAAACAAATTTAGGACCTAAAAGAACATCAAGATGTCAATATTCACCGATACAGATTTATGGACCAGATAACTACATAGAATCACCCCACAAACTGTATTGCATGACTTTAGCTGTGTACATGATAAGAGTATTCTTACTTGCTTGTTTGTTCTGCAGACGAGTTACTCCAGCATTAATAACAGTACTTAGGACACGAGTAAGTAAGCACCATGGTGAATTGAATACAGTATGATCAAACTATATACAAAGCTTTATACTGAGATTTAGAATACTTCATGCTATAGCAAAGGTCAATATTCTTTATAGGGTCTTCCCCTCAAGACAACAGTAACAGTTTATTCTCCTCAAACTTCAAGACAATCAAGTGCTATTTAAACACAAAAAAAGGAAACCTGACATCCTACAAAAGTATCTGAAACAGGAGGTTTGAGGCCCATTTTGGCTCTCTCAAATGCCTCAAGTGTACCAAATACCCAGCAGGCAAATTGCTAAGAAGAGTAAGCTTCTAAATAAGATGAGTCACCACAGCTTACCTTCTCCCCTTTTTCTTTTGAGACTTGTCTTTTTTCATTCATATCACATTTGTTACCCAGGATCATTCTTTCTACATCTGAAGAGGCATGCTGAAAGAAGAAAAAGTAAACTCTCAGAAACAAACTGCACCGTTATTTAAAAGAAACTTCTGTGTCAAACTCTGCCACAAATTAGTATTTTATTTTTAAAAAGTTGTCTAATGTGAAGACATTACTGAGAAAGAGACCGACTTTTGAAACAAGCAACTTCATATTTAAATAGGTTGGACTATATACTCCTAGATTAAATTTGTCAGAGTATTATTACAGACCAAATACAGTACCATGAGCTCTGTATGAGGCTGTGCACATGTACAGGAATCCTGCTATTGTGGCAACGTAACGGTACACACTTCGGAGTGGTGCATGGACACCTGGGGCATTTAGCTGGAGTATCATTATGCAATATATTTGCATTTTAAAAATAATTATTAATAAAAGACTTCTAAAGTGATAATCACTACAGCAAGAGAACTTCAGCAAGAAAACTTTTCTAGCCTAGTCACTATTGGATCAAATAGCTCACTAATACAGGAATTTTGCTTAAGAGCCAAAGAACAGTACTAAAGAAAAGCCCATGGACTTTATATTTAAGAAAAACAAAACTAAAAACTCCAAACAGTGAGATTATGTTACCTAACTACAGTTTCACTAAAATTAATGTTTCTTCTCTAACTTAATAATGACCTGTCCCTACTTGACAGCATGTCCCATTAAATAATTTGCAGTAAGGAAGCTTCCCAAGACCAAATGAAAAGGTCAAAAATCTCTCAAACACACAATACAGTAATAACTGAAATTAGACAGACCTGTCATCACCTCAGTGAAAGGTAGACACTCTAGACACCCTAAGATCTTGTACCTTCCCATTCCTTAGACACATCCAAAAGCACAAAAGAACAGTGTCATATAGTAAGAGTAGTTTTGAAACATTTAATGTTTACTTTTTAAACTTAAGTTTTCTACCTTCTATCTCCAGATGAACAAGATAATATTCTCCCCATTAATAACCACTGTTGCATTCACTGCAGAGTCTAACTTGGCCATATGTGTTGGCTACTATAATGAAAGTGAGTCACTATTTGATTATTAATTGTCCCAGGGAAATCCCAAGATGGACTTGAGTAAGAAGCACTTTCCAAAGCACCTACCTCCTCTATGTTTCTTATCCAGTTTTTTATGTTGTCAAATGACTTTTCATTTGTGATGTCATACACCAGCATAATTCCCTAAATAAAATCAAGAAAATCCAGTTAGATGAGCTAGCGCTATTGCTTGACTTTTGAAGTATGCTGTTGGTTTGATTATACTTGCAGGGAATTCAACATACAACTTACACACGTATAATCCTTTCTCAAAGTGTTATGCCATTGCTGAGAATTTACTCACAGTATTTAACATCTTTTCCCACTGTTAGAGGTCAAACACACCACCTACATGAAGTTTTAAATTATTAGCCTATAGTCAGGAAAATTTTAGGAACTCTGCTACAACAGCAACCAGGAGTCTTGTTAAGTCGAGCTTAGAAGCAGCAGCTTTAAGCAGTGAAAGACTACATTTAAGCAGTGAAAGACTACACCTCTATGAGATCCAGTCTGCTGAGGCCAGATACTTACAGCCAAGTGGAGACTAGTTGCTCTCCCAGAAGCTTTGGCTCTTTCAGACAGTTATGTACGTATACTAGCGTGGGTTCTCAACAATTAGCAAAGCATGGGAAACCACACAACATCTGTATTAAGGACAGATTGCCAGGTTCACCTCCATTCCTTATTGCCTTTCCAATCAATTCCTCGCAGGACAAAAGAAAAGTCCTTGGCTGTGGACTGGGAGGTGGGGAGAACATCATGTCACTGCCAAAATGTTTTGAGTACTAGAAAGCTCTAACAGAGCCACAACTATTACTATTTCTCTCCATCTGTATTTTGTATCAGTGAAGTTATCTGGACCCACTGCCAGCCTTTGAATGGAACGGATCTGTTCATGGAATGCAACAAGAACATGTAGTAGCAGCATAGCTAGTAACCAGAAAGTTGAAATTAACAGTGTCCCAGCATAATCACAGAATTAAGAACCATTACAAGCAGTTGTACCACAAGGAGTGTAGGCTCTGAGCCAGTTATTTGACTTCAAGTCACTCTTAATAGAGGAAAAATCAACAGTAGCTTTTTAGGTGACTGTATTTCTAGCCAATATTTTGCATTCTCTACTGGCTGAAGGAAAAGTAATTCATTCAAATACACTTAATATTAAAAGAATTCATTACCATTTTTCAAACATTTGAAATGTTTAAAGGGGTTGATTGCATTAAAAACCTTGCCTGATTAGAACTTGGCAACTTAGCTTCTTATTATAATCTGCAGAAATTTAAGTATATTAAAAAAGACCATACAGCTTGAAGTTTGGTCACAAATGCAGGACTAGACAAAGTACCAGCAGGTTTAAAAAACAAAAACAAACAAACAAAAAAATCAAGAAAACACCCAATCAAACCACTAAACTTTATTCCCCACATCTCAAGCCACAATCATCTCATCCTCCAGTTGAAGGCTTAACATGATATAACCTTAGGAACAGCAAACCAATTACACTAGTTTTACCTATATAGTGAGAGCACTCACCATGGCTCCTCTGTAGTAAGCTGTTGTGATTGTGCGGAATCTCTCCTGGCCAGCTGTATCCCTAAAATTCAGTAAAAATAAGTATTTGTTGGAGGTGATCTTTACACTCCTGTGTACAAGTTTCTTCAGGCTCAAAAACTTCCCCACTCCAAGGCTATCCTACTTACAACAGTGCTTATAGCTGCACCATATATATGGCAAAAAAGCATTTAAACGTTCATGCAAGCAATGAAACTCAGCACTGCACAGCCTTCCCTAAAATAATTTTAAAAGGCAGCTCTGATGCATCTGAGTCCTGCACTAAAAAATTAAAACATGCAGCAGTAAAATATCTTAGGATAGTGGATTTTCACATACAGTTAACTATTAAAATCAACTACAATGTCTTTGTGCTGGTATTTTATCCTAGATGACGTCAAAGCAGTATCTGTCCGTGCGTGAAGAGGACCAAAGTGTTTGGCTACTAGTCACACCTAGGGGGAGCTGAACCCCAAAGGCATGACAAAAAACCAACTTTTTGATTTACATTTCAGACAGAAAGTTTGTACCAACCACTTCTGGCACTTCACCTCCTTTGTCACAAAAATTCTGGCTCGCATCCAAGTATCACAACTCTCTTTTCTACAACTTGAGAAATCAGCAAGAGCCCTACATTCACCAGTAGTTTGGCATCGGCCATAATGCTACTGCAAAAATGCTCATCTGCTACGATCAGGAGGCTCGGTCTCTACTAACCCACCACGCACAGCATGGGAGCGTTATCACTCACCTGTGCCGCTGTGAGCACAACTAGGTTATCAAAGTATCAGAGGAGGTTACATTGCATTAGATCATAGAGTTTATAGCTATTGAGCTGATACTTCTCTTCCACAGAGAATAGCTGAAAGTGCACTAAAGACGACAGCTTTTGATAAAACGGGAAGTTGGTGTGTGTTCACATATGAACAGGCTATTTCCTGTGCTACAGAGGCAGAACCACTCCAACAGCAGGCTAGAAGCAAGCATAAACCTTACGAACACTCAACGACTGAAAGGTGTGAAAACTCTGGGACACTCAGGCTCAAAGGCTATGCAGTATTCCTGCTCAAAGATTAACTCAATCCTCACTGAAAAACCTTCATTACTTGGGAATACTTACCATATTTGTAGCTTGATTTTCTTTCCATCTAATTCTATCGTTCTGATCTTAAAGTCGATTCCTGCCAAAGAAAGAGATATTTTAGGTGTTGCAATAAATGAAAAGGAAGTGTTTTGTTTCCTTTTGGCAATTTGGTAAGAGCAAACTTAGGCAAGAGAATTATTCTTAAGTTGTCATTTCTTCCAAACACTAGGAAGTGCTGAGGACGTACAAAGGTTTTCAGCCACATCCAGCATGTCAAGGATAAATTATTCTGCACGATGAAAACAGACCAAACCCAGACTCATTATTAGAGTTAGTGATGATTATGAGAGGAAGATTTAATCCCAAAATTCTTCCATTTTACACTCCTAAGGTCACTAGTTTGCATGTGTATTTTGCTCAACTTTTGACTAGCCCCTGCAGTTCACATCAATTCCCTAGAACCAATACTGGCTCTGAGGAAAAGATACATACTATGACCCCTTAGCTCCTCTTCAAAACTGATGTTTAATTCAATCTAATTGGACACCACAGTAAAAGGTAAAGCATCACAGGAAATAAAATCTATACAGATAGTTACTGAAGGTGGCTGAAGTAGATCACACGTGGTACTTTTTCAAGAGCACCAGTTTAGGAGTAACTTAGATTTTCTAGGAAGCTTCAAAGGGTATCAAGAAAATACTTCCCGCCCCCC